TCTCTGTCTCTCTGGAAATGTTCTTTAAGTGAGAGTTTGCACAGTGCATTACCTTCCCACTGAGCAATTTTTGTGCGTGTTGTTCCATGACAGTGGTTACGATGTTCGCACGCGTCAGCATCTTGCCAGCCCCGTGCCGTTTGTTCTCTTTCCAATGGTCTAGCTTCCCTTCCCCTCTTCGCCTTCGGGTAAATGTCGGCCATTGGGTTTCATTTAGCTAATTGTTTAAGGGACACATTACTCACGGGTGACATTGTTTGTTTTATATCCAAAAGGTGACCTCCAGGAGTGGTTTCAGTGGTAGGTCGAAAGGGTATCTTTGGGAGATTGTCTTGGAGTACCTCTAGTCTCTATCAATCCTGTAAATCTGGTGTTTTTTTTTTTTTTTTTTTACGATTGGAGTTTATTCTTTGTTTGTCTCCTGTTCTAACCAGGACCTTCTTTGGGGGTCTCAGTCAGAGTGGTTGGTAGTGGTAGCAGGGCACTGTCTAGTTCTGCTGGTCTCCGGGTAGAAGAGGCTGTAGTTCATGTGGCCTGTTAGTCCCGTGGTCTAGTTTCTTCCTGGGGTCTTTGTTTTCCTTTGTTCCCTTTTATTCCAGACAAGTAAAGACCAGTAGTGGTGTCTTAGATGTCCACTCACAAGCTTTTCCCAAGCCCTTCAGCCCCGGAAACCAGTTCCACAAGATGTTTGGATGTGTCTAGGAAATGTCTATAACTGTGCCCCCAATGAGCTTCATTACACCTATGGATATACATACGGCACAAGGAGCTCTGGTAGCATAGTGCCTAAGGCACTTGACTGCTAACCAGAAGGCTGGAGGTTCAAACCCACCAGCCACTCCTCAGAAGGAAGGTTGGGCAATCTACTTCCTAGTGATACCACCTTGGAAACCCAAGGAGGGGTCGCTATGAGTCAGGGCCGATTTGATGGCACATAACAACAAACAACAACAACTATCTAGGAAGTGGTTCCACCTCGCTCCCCTCCCATCCCAGAGAACCACCAAACACCGTTGCTTTCTCTGTGGGTGTCTATCCCTAACCTTTGATAAGAGCGGGACCACACAATGCTTGTCCTTTTGTGTTTGACATTTTTCATTCAGCACAGTGTCCTCCAGGCTCATCACGTCCTGAGTCATTATAGATGCACGGGGTCCCACAGTGTGGACATCCCATGGTTGTTTATCCATTCATCTGTTGATGGCACTTGGCTTTTTTCCATCATGTGGCTGTTGTGAATATGCTGCAATGAGCATGGGGCTGCCTATGTCCGTTCATGTCACTGCCCTCAAACATCCTGGACATAAACCCAGGAGTGGGATCGTCGGATTGTAAGGTTTCTCTGTTTGTAGTGTTTTGAGGAAGTGCCATGCTGCTCTCTACAGAGGCTGTACCATTTTAAAGTCCCGCCAGCAGTAGATGGGACTTCCAATCTCCCCGCGGCCTCATCAGAGCTTGCTATTTTCTTTTTTTTTAAATCATTTCCATTTCACAGGGGTGAGACGGTATCTCATTGTGGCTTTGATTTGCTTCTCTCTAATGGCCAATGATTGTGAGCTTCTTTTCACGTATTTGTTGGCCATCCTTTCATACCTCAAATGACTAGCGTTAGGACACACCCTACACTGTCAGGCCTCATTGACATAACAGAGAAAACCCTGTTCCACATGGGGTCACAGCCACAGTATTCGTGGTGGCTGTGGAGTCAATTCCGACCCGTGGTGACCGCAGGTGCCCAGAGCGGAAGTGCACCGCACAGGGCTGTGGTACTTCAGAAGCAATAGCCAGGCCTGTCTTCTGAGGTGTGTCTGGGTAGGTTGGAACCACCAACCTCTCTGCTGGTAGTTGAGTGCTGAGTCATTTGGGCCATCCGTGGACATCACAGAGTCCGAGTTCAGGGCCCCAGTTCTTGGGGAAGGCTCTCTCTCTGTCGGCGCTGCCAGGAGACTCTCGTCTCATTCATCTTCTGTCCCACAGCCCCCTCAGTGTTCACGTGGCACCCCCTCCTTGCTTCTCTCTGTGTCTGTGCCCCCTTTTTATATCTAAAGGTGATGAGGTTCGGGACACACCCCACCCTGATGAGGTGTCAGTAATGAAACGAGGAGAACGCTGTTCCCAGTTGGAACCACGCGCACAAGTGTAGGGGTTAGAATTCCGACACATACTTTGGGGGGACGCAACTCCATCATAATGGTCAGCTTCTGCTGGGCAGAAAACCACCCCGAAACTTAGTGGCATAAAGAACAACCATTTACTTGCTCATGACTCCGGGGGAGTTGAGGCTGGGACTGTGGGGAGATTTCTCCAGTCCCAGGGAAGTCAGGGTGGCCTCCAGGGTCCGGGTTTAATTCTGTGCTTTTTCTTCTACTCCTTCCCTCCCTCGTTGCTGGAAGTCTGCACGGAAAGAAGTACAAGTGGTCTCCAAATTACGATGCAGTTGAGTTACAATGAACTTCACTTACAACCACCTTCTTCTTTTTTGGTAATTAGTAATTTTACAGTGAAAAGATTAGCTGAAGTTTTTTTCTAAAATAAATTGAGGACTTCAGTTGCTTGAAAACACGGACCTAAATGCTGAGGACTTTGCTGAAGACGATAGGCAGATTCAGGAAGCCAGGAGATGTTACTGTGAACTATGGGAAGGAAAAAAGAAAGGACCAAACAGACTACTCCCTAACTGACTAGAAACACATCCCGATTCCCAGGGATAACCCGGAAGGCCCGGAGCCTTCCACAGGTGGAGCTGGGACTGCCACTGATGACACTGCCAATGTCCTTGGAGTGAACTTTCATGTTTTGTGTGATTCTTATGTATGTAAGTATAACTGTGAGTTTACGTGTAATATTTCCCATAGTGAAAGACAAATATCAGACTTATAAAGACACTGACAATAAAAGACAGTAACAATGAAAACAGCAGAAAGGGAAATATTTGACTTACAGCAGAACCAACTTGTGATAGACTCACTGGAATGGAACCTCGCAGTAAGTCAGGGACTACTTCTGTCTGTCTGTCTATCATCTATCTATCTACCTATTTTTAAAAGAGCACAGTGCTCATTGGGTGATGGTGGTTATTTTATGAGCTGATCTGTTAATTAGCTGAAAGGTGACCTCTGAGAGTGGTCTCAGTTCAAAGTTTCAAAGGTAGCTCAAGACACTATTTTCAGGGCTTCTCCTCATTTCTCTCAGCCCCCCGAGTCGGGCCTTTCTCGAGAACGTGCGTTTTCTTCTACATCTTTCTCCCATTATATCCGGGACCATCCACTGGGTCCCAGGTCAGAACAGTCACTGGTGGTAGGTGGGCACCATCTGGTTCTTATGGTCTCAGGACAGATGAGGCTGTGGTTTGTGGGGCTACTAGTCCTATGGTCTGGTTTCTTCTTTGAGCCTTTGGTTTTCTTATTTTGCTTTTGCTTCAGTCAAGTAGAGAACAATAGTCGTGTCGTACATGGTCACTCACAAGCTTTTAAGATCCCAGAAGCTACTCACCAAACTAGGATGTAGAACATAAACTTTATGGACTATGTTGTGCCAATGGACTGAGCTGTCTCACACAACTATGATCCTGAGCCTTCAAACAGCTAGCCAATCCTGCAAGGTGCTGCTTATATCTGGGAAATGTCCTAGAGAGGGAACAATGGCACCTGTTTGACAGGTGAAGAGACTGAGGTTGGGCAACAGAGCATGTCAGGTGACCCATGCTACGGTAATTAGTTGGAAAAACGGAACCAGAATTTAAGGCTGTCACTCTCCCAGCTTCACCTGAACACGTGGGTCAGGGTGGGGTGGGGTAGGATACCAGCAAGAAAGGGATACACTGGCAGGTGGGATGAGCAAGGGGCGCCCACCCCAGCTGGCCCGGATGCTCATGGGCCCTTCTCTCCTCCGCTGCTGTCTCCCTCAGAGCTGTCTTCTCAGGAGGCCATGCTTTCCCAGGACTGGAGCTCAGCGGACGACGAGGATGAGTCAGAGGACCCTCAGGTAAGCTCTCTCTCCTCTTGTCAAATGCTCCACCCTGCAGATCTCAGTGGGCCACCACACTTCCTTCATCAGCTTGGAATTTTCCCACAAAGGTCTAATCAGGGGTGCGCGCCCCAAGCACTCTCACACGGAGAACTGGACATATTCCTGTGGTAGTCGGATATGGACCAGGGTCATTCCAACTTTGGCTGTGTGTGCTGAGATAGAGGAGTCAAAGATGTTGCAGCTTGAGGCATGGAGGAGTGAGGGGAAGTGATGTGGGAAACTCCAGGAGGAGGTTTTTATTGGGGGGCATTAGGACAACAAGGAGTCCTGATGGAGCAGTTGTTAAGTGCTCAGCTGATAACCAAAACGTCAGTAGTTCAAACCCACCAGCCACCCCATGGGAGAGAGATATGGCAGTCTGCTTCTATAAACATGACAGCCCTGGAAACCCTATGGGGGCAGTTCTACTCTGTTTTATAGGGCAGCTGTGAGTTGGAATTGACTCGAGGCAATGGGTTTGTTTGGTTTTCAGTCCATAGGAATGTTACATACTTTGGTGTATTTATCTTATATCTAGATCTTTGTTGTATAGTTTTTAATTCAAAGAGCTTTTCAGTTGATATGCCTTCTAATCCCAGAATACATAATTCCATTTTCCTGCACATAATAATGGCAGCCTCTTTCTTTCTAATATTTATACTGTTTCTTTCCTTCTGTTCCAGGGCTTTGTGGAGTGGTCCAAAGCTCCACAGCAAACAACCATAGTCTTGGTCGTGTGTGTCCTGTTTTTGTTCCTGGTTTTAACGGGGATGCCTATGATGTTTCACATTTAACTGTAATGGTGGCTATTGAAATCAATGGCCTGTGTCATGCGAAGGAGGTGTGCTGGTTAAACATCGGCAGTGAATGTCGACTTTTACCACATAGCTTTCAGACAGCCATTGAGATGATTTCTGTTTGCTTGTTTGTTTGGTATTTAACCTATCGGTTTGAGGATTTACACTTCTGTATTTCATCTAACTTAAGACCTCATTGATTGAGGATGACATTTTATGTTATATACCACTGAGAAAGAAAAATTCGAGTTGTAAGATGCCACAGACTGTAAGATACATCCTGACTTCCGAGAAGCTGAGAAAAATGTGCAACTTAGGGTCAATGAAATTGGGTAGATTTGCTAACATCAAATCACCCCTTGCATTCTTAGGATAAAATGTTTGCTTGTAGCACACCAGCCTTTTCATGTGCTGGATTCTGTTCCTTGATACTGTATGTATTCTTGCTTCCATCCATGTATGTAGATTCATGTCTCTGTGTTCATACTTGAGATTGGTGCTATCTTTGTCAATTTCTGGTATCAAGGATAAGCTCATATTATAGAAGGGCTTGAGTAGCTTTCACCCTTTTCTATCTTTTGAATAGTTTCTGGAACTTGACAAGCATCAACTTCTTGACGTTTTGAAAGAATTCACCAATAAAGCCATCGGGTCCTAGAGCCATGGAGTGAAAGTTTCAGCTAATTCTGAACAGCTTTGTTACTTTCTTCCTATGTTATTAGTCTATTGAAACTTTCTACTTCTTGAGTTAATTTTAATCACTTGCTGTTTCCCTTTATCCCTTAGAAATTTTTTATTTCCATTGGGCTTTTCAGATTACTTGCTTATAATTATATATGATTTTATAATGAAGCAAAAATTGTCTCTATGTGTTCTGCCCTCTTTCTCCTTTCAGCTACTGTGTGAGGTTTACACATCATTTCGTTTTGCAGAGGTTTATATAGATCACTACTTTTCCCAAAGAACCGGCACCAGACCTGTTTACTTATAGTCATTGTTTCTCTCGTTTGTAACTCATTTGTTTTCCTTTAATATTGGGTTTGTGATTGTTTTTATTCCTTGTCTTAGTTTGTAAGTTGAATACTTAATTCGTGTATATTCTCTTTTAAAAAAATATTTGGTATAATACTATACTTAGTAATGTAAATGTACTTCTGGCTATAGCCTTGGTCACATCTTAAAGTTGAATCATTGGTGTTCTTGTAGAAATATTATATTGCAATATTCCTAAAGAGTGCTTCACATAAAGAGGGGGTTTAATTTTCTCGTTTTACTGCACTGTGAACAAAGAATGTAGCCTCTCATATATTGCTTTCAAAACCCTGTAAAAAGCTTTTACTGTGGCCTAGAACTTGTCTGGTTTTTGTAAATGTTTCATGAACATTTAAGATGAATGTATATTCTGTCATAGCATTCAAAACTGAACAAGTCTGTTAGCTAACTCTGTCTTATCAATTATATTGTTGAGATTCAAGTGGTATTTAATGTTGACCTACTCTGTCAAAAACAATAGGGCTACGTGAATATCTGTTACTATGCTCATGCTGGTCAATATAGTTTTATGATCTCTGCTTTATGCGTTTAGCAACTGTGTGATTTGATACATATAAGTAAAGCTTTGCTATATCTTTGCCAGTTAAATGAAACACCAAGCACAGTGCTGGGCTTATAGTAAGTACTCAATAAATGTTAGTTAAAACCTGATTCTGAATCCTTTGTCAAACAGAAAGTGATTGATTTAACCCATTTAATCCTTTTAAAATTTCATTTTGTCTAATATTGGTTAGTATTACCATCTGCTCTTTCATTCCTCTTTGACTATGTACTTTTCCGTGTACGTAGATCTGAGGTGCTCAGGTGGTGTAGTGGTTAAGGTGCTTGGCTGCTAAGCAGAAGGTTGGTGGCTCAAACCCACCAGCTGTTCCACGGAAGAAAGATTAGGCAGTCTGCTTCCGGGAAGACTTACAGCCTTGGAAACCCAATGGGGGTTCCTGGGAGTCAGAATCCACTTGATGGCAGTGAGGTTTTTTCTTTTTTAATAATATCTCTAAAACCACACGTCTATGTAGGTAGATAGGCTCTTAGGCAGTGCAGACGACTACTGACCTAACAGTTAGAGGCTCAAATCCACCCACCAGTATCGGGGAAGAAAGGCCTGGTGATTTGGTTCCATAAAGGTTACAGCCAGGAAGCCGTAAGGAGCCGCCGTGCCCTGCAGCCGCCGTGCCCTGGAGCGCATGGGGTCCTGCCCTATCCACAGTCCTAGGACCGGCTGGGTTGCTGGAACCACGGTTGATGCCATTCCCGTCGGGCATCCCCTGCAGTGAGGCCTCAGGACAGGAAGCGTCTGTCCTTCCCGCTTTCCGTAGCAGGGCCTCGAGACACACACACTGATTGGCGGAAGGAAGGCGCGGGTGGGGCGCCCCCATCTGGCCTCCAGGGTGGAAATCCTGGCGCTCAGGCTTCCGACGAGGCTCGGCCGCCGAGAAGACCTGCTAAGACGGAAGAAGAGATGGGAGCCCACGTTCCCGGCTGGGAGAGGGGACCCCACTTCCGGCCCAATGAGCAAGCACGCTGGGAGAAGCCAGGACACCCCAGCTCGCTGGGGACTTGGCTCGCAGCTCAGCGGCGCGTCTGCCGTCAGTGGTGCTTCCGGGAGAAACCGCATCTTGGAGGGTCGAGCTGGGGGAGAAGGGGGCGAGGCACCCCAACTGGCACCCCCCCAGGCCGGCTGGTAGGATCCCACACCTCCCAGCACGCTCTCTGTCGGCGTGCAAAGCAGTCGTCTCCGCCTCCGACAGGGCGCGCGGACCAGGGATGCTGTTGGTTGCCTTGGAGTTCCATTGCACAGCAGAACAAGACGTCCGGGGGCCAGTCCCGCCCCTCTTCCCGAATCCGGGTCTGCTGCAGGCCGCGGTGGCGGCCACTGTGAATTACTGCCTGCCCACCCAGTGTCTGGATATGGTACCCGGGGAATGTGGCCGGGGGTAACATGTCAAATAAGCTGGCAACTCTGAAACCGTAGGGGAATGACGGGGACGCCCCTCTGACCGCTTGTGGTCTGCAGCTTGTCCGTCCGCGCGCAGCTGCGCGCTCCCAGGAGAGTGAGTCCCCTGTGGAGGTGATGCTTTGGGGGGTGACCGGATGCTGCACGCTGCCACCAGGGGGCGTCTTCGGCAGCCTGAGTTGTGAGAGGCTTGGAAGGCCCAGACGGATGCCTTGTGCTTTTGGTTTTTTCCTCTCTTTTACTTTATCTAAGGAGCTCTGCTGGCACAATGCCTAAGGCATCTGACTGCTATCCAGAAGGCTGGGTTCAAACCCACCAGCCACTCCATGGAAGGAGGATGGGGCAATCTACTTCCGTAGAGATACTGCCTGGGAAACCCAGTAGGGGTTGCTGCGAGTCAGAACCGACTCCATGGCAGTGAGGTTTTCTTTTTTCCTACCTTATCTGCAGTCTCTAAATTCCCAAGGCTCTGAAACCAACATGTTTTCGATAACTCCACTACTAGGGCTCATCTGTCTACCTTTGCGGAGACCCAGCAGACTCTAACTTCCCAAGGCCTCCGCTCTTTGTTCTGTGTTTGCACAATGACTTAAGGCACCTACCAATGAAGGCTGAAGAATACAGTCTGCAGTATGGAGTACGTCTTAATATAAAGAAAACAAAAATCCTCACAACTGGACCAATGAGCAGCATCACAATAAATGGAGAGAAGATTGAGGTTGTCAAAGAATTCACGTTGCTTGGTTCTACAATCGATGCCAACGGAAGCAGCAGTCAGGACATTAGACGACGTGTAGCATTGGGGAAGTCAACTGCGAAGGAACTGTTTCAAGTGCTGAGGAGCAGGGATATCTCCTTGAGGACTAAGGTGCGCCTGACACAAGCCATGATATTTCCAATCGCCTGGTATGCATGTGAGAGCTGGACAATGAATAAGGAAGACCGAAGAAGAGTTGATGCTTTTGAGTTGTGGTGCTGGCGAAGAATGCTGAAAGTACCATGGACTGCTAAAGAACTAAGAGATCTGTCCTGGAGGAAGTGCAGCCAGAATGCTCCTTGGAAGCAAGAATGGCCAGACTTCGTCTCACCTATTTTGGTCATGTTGTAAGAAGGGACCATTCCCTGGAGAAGGATGTCATGCTTGGTAGGGTGGAGGGTCGACGAAAGAGGGCGAGGCCTTCAAGGAGATGGATTGATACAGTGGCTGTGATGATGGGCTCAAGTATAGCAGGGATTGTGGGGCTGGCGCGGGATCGGGCAGTGTTTCGTTCTGCTGTGCATGGGGTCGCTATGAGTCGGAAACGACTCGACGGCACTTAACAACAACAACAACCGCTCTTTGTACTGGGTGGGATTTTAAGCAGAGAAGTGGGTGACTTCAGGTATACATTAAAACTCCACTGAATCAAACTGCAGCCTGACCTGGAACCTTCTGGCTTTGCAGAAAAGACAACTGAGTCTTTTCCTCACAGTTTCACTGTCTGTAAACCAAGAGGCCAAGTGTCAGGATTGCCCGCTTGGGCGCGGAATTGTTCGTGGAAGAAGCCTGTTTGCTCAGTTTGGCCTGAAAAGGACGTGTTGCTCCTCCCTGGAGTGCAGGCAATAGGATCAGAAGGTAACAGGTGAAGACACGCCCTACAGCTGTCTGGGGGACCCGGATAAGGTAAATCGTCCAGTCTTAACGTCCTGACGTCCAAACTGAACTTCGTTTTCACTGCGGCCATCTTTCACCTCCTCTCTCTCTGGAAGTCAAGCAAAGCGTTGGCTTGTTGTTTGACGATGAGCAGAGAGGCAGGCATGGCGCGTCAACCACATCTCCAGATGCGGCAAAGACTTGCTGCAAACCTCTCCCAGGGCTGAGACTTAACTGTCAGGTCAGAGGTTAGTGTCAGGTCAGATCATGCTTCAGCAACTTGTGAATCCTTTCTGTGCACAGGCGCCGTTTTACTGCGCGCGCACACACTGCCTTTTACAAAGGGCAAGTTTGGGGCAGCCCTACCCCAAGCAAGTCTGTCACCGCCATGTTCCAACAGCACCTGCTCATGTGGTGTCTCAGTGTCCCGTTTGGGTCACTCTCAGAATATTTCAAACTCTTTCATCATGCTTTTGTACACCTGACAGTAAGCCTAATTTTATACGCCTCGGGAAACCCAGAAGTAGTGTGACTCATTTTGTTGCCATATCCGCTTTATTGTGGTGGTGGGCAACAGAACCCCCGGCATCTCCGAGGTGTGGTGGCCATTTCCCGTGTGTGTGTGTGTGTTTCGCCTGATAGAAACCTGTGCGCCCTGCAGGCTGGAACACCCTGTGGTCTTGGCTCCGGTGCATCTCCCCGTCTTGTGAAGTTTTATATCCCCTTTAATCAATCCCGATTTCTAGCGAAGCCCAAGTCTGGTGAGCTCTCACTAGGACAGTCCAGCGGAGCGCCCGCCACACGCTCCGCTCCTTCCGGGTCTCCGGCCTACAGCGGGTGGGAACCAGGGCTCCTCATTGCCCCTCCCTAGTCTCACCTCCTGCAGCAGGAGGGACTCAGGGCAGACTCTGCACAGAAGCCATGCCCTCCCTCCTTGCGTCTGCACATGGACTGCAGTTGATGCCTTGCACTGCCCA